ACAAAATCAGGTGGAAAAAGAAGAAGAAGAAGAAGAATCAGAAGAAGAAGAAGAAGAAGAAACAGGAGAAGAATAAAATCAGGTGAAATGAAAAGAAAAGAAGAAGAAGAAGAAGAAGAAACAGGAGAAGAACAAAAAGGTGAAAAAAAGAAGAAGAAGAAGAAGAATAATAAGAAGAAAACAGGAGAAGAAACAAAAATCAGGTGAAATAAAAAAAGAAGAAGAAGAAGAAGAAGAAGAAGAAGAAGAAGAAACAGGAGAAGAAACAAAATCAGGTGAAATAAAGAAGAAGAAGAAGAAGAAGAAGAAGAAGAAGAAGAAAAGAAGAGAAGAATTTGATTGTGAAAAGAAGAAGAAGAAGAAGAAGAAGAAGAAGAAGAAACAGGAGAAGAACAAAATCAGGTGAAATAAAGAAGAAGAAGAAGAAGAAGAAGAAGAAGAAGAAGAAGAAGAAGAAGAAGAAGAAACAGGAGAAGAACAAAATCAGGTGAAATAAAGAAGAAGAAGAAGAAGAAGAAGAAGAAGAAAGAAGAAGAAGAAGAACAAAAGGAGGTGAAATAAAGAAGAAGAAGAAGAAGAAGAAGAAGAAGTAAACAGGAGAAGAAACAAAATCAGGTGAAATAAAGAAGAAGAAGAAGAAGAAGAAGAAGAAGAAGAAGAAACAGGAGAAGAACAAAAAATCAGAAGAAAAGAAGAAGAAGAAGAAGAAGAAGAAGAAGAAGAAGAAAAGAAGAAGAAACAAAAGGAGAATAAAGAAAAAAGAAGAATAAGAAAAGAAAAGGAGAAGAACAAAATAAGAAATAAAGAAGAAGAAGAAGAAAGAAGCAGGAGAAGAACAAAATCAGGTGAAATAAAGAAGAAGAAGAAGAAGAAGAAGAAGAAGAAGAAGAAGAAGAAGAAGAAACAGGAGAAGAACAAAATCAGGTGAAATAAAGAAGAAGAAGAAGAAGAAGAAGAAGAAGAAACAGGAGAAGAACAAAATCAGGTGAAATAAAGAAGAAGAAGAAGAAGAAGAAGAAGAAGAAGAAGAAGAAGAAGAAGAAGAAGAAGAAGAAGAAGAAAAGAAGAAGAAGAAGAACAGGAGAAAACTTTTCTCTGGTGAAATAAAAGAAGAAGAAAAGAAGAAGAAGAATAAGAAGAAACAGGAGAAGAACAAAATCGTGAAATAAAAAAGAAGAAGAAGAAGAAGAAGAATAAGAAGAAACAGGAGAAGAAACAAAATCAGGTGAAATAAAGAAGAAGAAGAAGAAGAAGAAGAAGAAGAAGAAAAAGAAGAAGAAACAGAGAAGAAAAAACAAAAAGAAGAAGAAGAAGAAGAAGAAGAAGAAGAAGAAGAAGAAGAAGAAGAAGAAACAGGAGAAGAACAAAATCAGGTGAAATAAAGAAGAAGAAGAAGAAGAAGAAGAAGGAAAAAAACAGGAGAAGAAGAAGAAAATAAAGAAGAAGAAGAAGAAACAGGAGAAGAACAAAATCAGGTGAAAAAAGAAGAAGAAGAAGAAGAAGAAGAAGAAGAAGAATAAGAAGAAACAGGAGAAGAAACAAAATCAGGTGAAATAAAGAAGAAGAAGAAGAATAAGAAGAAGAATAATAAGAAAAACAGGAGAAGAACAAAATCTAGGTGAAATAAAGAAGAAGAAGAAGAAGAAGAAGAAGAAGAAGAAGAAAACAGGAGAAGAAAATCAAAATCAGGTGAAATAAAGAAAAAGAAGAAGAAGAAGAAGAAGAAGAAGAAGAAACAGGAGAAGAACAAAATCAGGTGAAATAAAGAAAAGAAGAAGAAGAAGAAGAAGAAGAAGAAGAAACAGGAGAAGAACAAAAATAAGAAATAAAGAAGAAGAAGAAGAAGAAGAAGAAGAAGAAGAAGAAGAAGAAGAGGAGAAGAAACATAAGAAGGACAAAACAGAAGAAATAAAGAAGAAGAAAAAAAAGAAGAAGAAGAAGAAGAAGAAGAAGAAGAAGAAGATGATGATGATGATGATGATGATGATGATGATGATGATGATGATGAAATAAAAAGAAGAATGCAGGCGAAAAAACAGACGGAATAGAAAATGAAAAATAAAAGAAAAAGAATGAAAATTTAAAATAAGAAAAGAAAAGAAGATAAAGTAAAGAGAGTAGAAGAAAGAAAGGTGGCGGTGATGGTGTAGGAGGATTTTGAGGAAAAGGAGGAGAAGAAGGTGGAAGATAAACAAATTAAACTCTTGAAAATGACAGGCGGGAGTGAAAGTCAAACATAATATTAGGTTTAGAAAAAGATCCGTTTGTTATGCCTGCGAGGGAAAATGGTCTTGCGTCATTGGGAACTGACAAGAAGATGACTAAAAGACAATATTTGATCTTACCGACAATGGAATTCTAGAGGAAATGGGAAAAAAGTCTGACAGTGCAAAGGAATCGAACAGACATGACCCGCTAGTAACAGATAAAACAAGAAACGGCCTTTGCCAAACAATTTGCTTTCCAGTAACGTTTGAAAAGAGAAAGAAAAGATGTAAAAATGCTTCATCAGGAGGTTTCAGAAAATGGGGTAAGGGTCCTGAACGGTCATGGCAACCGTCTGAGTAAAAATTAAGGAAACAGGAGTGACTTGGATACACGGTGTAATTTCGCACGCTGAGCGACCTTTTACAGTCTTTTAAGACAGTGGAGTAATGGATAAAGACCGGATTGAGGAATCGGGGAGCCGAGTTGACACCCATGAAACATTACATTCAATTACTTTACAGTCTACCCTTTGCAAGGTATGAAGTGTTCTTTCTTTCCCAACACAGTTAAGGGAAAATAACAGAACTAAAGAAAGTTCAGTCTCTATACTCCCGGTGGCAACTGGTTTCCCGTAGAAAGAAATGACAACCTACTGCGGGGAAAAATATCTGCCTCGTCAGTCATCTATCGAAAGATACATGGTCATTTTTGCGTGTATCACTCATGGCACATTACTGACTGATCTACACTTATCGGGAGCGGACCCTAAACTCGCACTAACCATTTTTACCATTTTCAGTCGCTACAAAATACTTTGGTAGGCAAAACTTATTTTTCCCCTTTTTTGATTTAGGCAATTAAGAATTGGAGAGCCGAGTTCAAATTCCAGTCGAATCCATTACATTCCCTTTACGTGACTAATACCCGAAATGTTGTAAGGTATGAATCCTTTCTCCCAGCTATGGGTAAATAGCAGGACATAATGGGTTCTATTTACATTGTTCATAACTGGTCTACTGCAGAAAGAAATGACAACCTACTGCGGGAAAATCAACCTTGTCAGTCATGTATCGAAAGGTAATTTGTCGTCCCATGTGTCATCATGCATGGCACATAACTAATTGACTGACCGATCTATCTAGCTCTATCTATCTATCTATCTATCTATCTATCTATCTATCTATCTATCTATCTTAATGTCTGTTAACAATTATCTATCTCGGATCTATCTATCTGTCTGCCTATCTATCTATCTATCTATAACAGTCTGTTCATATCTATTTCTATACGATCATATCTATCTATTATAGTGAAAAGATAATTAAAAGTTGAAATCTGCTCAAGGCAATATCTTCACGGTAATTGTTGCTGATGAGTATACTTCATTGGTACTTCGACTTCACGAATTGAAGCGCAGTACTAAATTGGCGGTTAGGTCTCATAGTTTCATCGTTGAAATTACTAGTTATAATCACAAGTTCTATGATAATAGTTTCTTCTATCACACTACACGAATGTTGAAATCTCTTCCAGCTTCCTGTTTCCTTGCCAGCCACAATTTTTCAAAATTTAACAACAATATCAATCGTCATTTTGTTTTTCCTTAAATCCTGTCCTTTTATTGCCTCGCTCAGATTCTTTCTCTCGCATTTGTCCCCATCATCATGGGTACTTTTATTGCCTTGCGCGCTAATACCCTTGGGAAAGTTATGAATCCTCTTCTCCTATGGGTAAATAGCAGGACAGACTGCGTTCTATAACTTTGGATGGCAACTGGTCAAGGAGAAGGACAACTCTGAATTCAAAACCTGCGGAGGGTCGTTTGAGGGTCTCCGTATTCGGCCCTTCAAAAAGTGTGGATGGTTCTGCACAAGATCTTCAGCACTAAAATCAAAGTGGGTCCTAGTAATATCAAATATTAAATATAAATGTAAAATATATATCCAAGTAGATTCTAGTAATATAAATATTAAAACTGGTCAACAAAAAGAGCTCAATGTATTTGTTATTACAGAGCAAACAATTAGTACACAATAAAATCCAAAATAACCTCATATGGCAGGGATAGGCTTAGGTGAACCAACGAAATTCGTCAGGCTTATTCAAGCGCGGTATAGAGTTTGTGTCAGTATTGCAAATTTAACTGTAACACCAGTTGCAAAAATAATACACAATTTATTTACATCAATGTTTTAGTTGCAAAAAAGCACAAGACAGTGGTAAGTGGAGGATGGAATGTATCTGTATTAAAAGGAAGAGGTTTTATAAAATTATATATGAAATTAATATATATATATATATATATATATATATTTAAAGATATTTTTTAAACAGGATGAAATGTTTTTTGGGACTCGCTGTTATTTGTCTCTAGCTCCTTGTGTTCATATTTTTATTTTTTTTTCTTCCCATTTTCTTCTTATTGCACATTTTCTAGTGTTTATAATTTAAGTTAAATCTCCTGTGAAGAGCGGGAGGAAATCGGTTGCTTTTTAATATGTCTAGTAATTTAATATGTCTTTATATAATATATATATATATATATATATATATATATATATATATATATATATATATATTAAGAAATGTACATAATACGTTAGTATTAATTGCACAACCTGAGTTTCATGCCAAAGCAAATGTTTAAGTGCTGGAATTAATATATTTTTTATTTTTTATTTTGTGTTGACAACTGTTTTGTTTTAAACTTATCCTTATTTCTAATATATATATATATATATATATATATATATATATATATATATATATATATATATATATATATATATATATATGTATATGCGTAGGTATGCATAAAATAGAAAAGAACACGTTGGGTGCATGATCCAGGGTTCCTTTGTATTTTTGTTTTTATTTTTAAGAAGACAGTGCTCCATACAGAAGTAGAGCTTATATATATATATATATATATATATATTAAATAGCTCTGTTATTTAACATTGAGCACTGCTTTCCCCACACTATAGAATATTTATATTGTATTTGTATACGATCGCGCGCCGTATACCTACCTATATTTAAGGTTAGCTCTTTTAAATTCTTTGTAGTAGATAAATAATTTGATTTCTTTTTTATTCGGGTCAATTGGGGTAGTGTATTTCTTTATAATATTTCTAAGTGAAGATTAATCTTGTTTGTAGTTAATGTGCATTTGGTCTTTGTAGAAAATATTTGTTATATTTATGATATAGATGCATAGGTAGGGGAGGAGTGGTTTCATGGTGTGCACGTTCACCCGACCTGGATTTTTACTTGTAAGGCCTCCTAAAACAATTCGTTTATGCATCAGACATTAATAACGCAGAGACACTTCATCAGCGTTTCATGAGGGTCTGTGAAATCATTCGACACCGTCAGGGAGTATTTGAAAGAGTCCGCCAGTCAATCATCCGACGGGTGCATGTGTGTGTAGAAGCAAACGGAGGACATTTTGAATATTTGTTATTAGTTGCTGTTTTGTGATACAACGATGCCATTTTAGATATACAGTGTAACCCGGATATAAGAGAGTTGTCGGGACCGGAGAAGAAGTCTCTTATATCCGGGTTACACTGCATGTTTATATATACATTTTACCTTGTTTCGATGTCAGGAACGCACCCCCAAAGATCGTAAAAGTATTTTTAAGACACCCTGTATATATCCAGTTCAATATCAACAATTTAGAATTGAATAAAAACCAAGGAATTCTTAATGGTGATACTTTTATCAAAATAAAAAAAAATGAGTTAGGTTTCTTTGAATATTTTTATTTTTTATTTTTAATGTTTTTCAAAGGAGGAATTCTTTATTGCATACGATAATAGATTTAATTGTATAGCTAAAAATTCTAGATGACTCTTACAGAAAACACAAGAAATTCACTTAGAAGATTTCTTAAATTTTCCATCTTTATTTTATGTTTTCCTTTTTTACGGTACGGGTTATCTAGTGCAAACACTCACCAAAAATAATAAAATCATTTCAAATGTTGATGTCACTTGATAAAAATGTCGTTATCTATTTATTTATGGATGGATTAAATCTTCGAAAACGTTAATTTTTTTAGACAAATTTGTGGAAATAATAATTTTTAATCTAATCAGTGCTTAATATAATTTAATTTTATAGAATATTAAAAATATCATTTCGATGCTAAAAATAGCGGGGGTTGGGGTGGGGGACACAAGATAAAATGAAGATATGACAGGCGGCTTAAAAGTTTCTCTACCAGACATCCATCCTAAAATCTTACGAAAGAAGACAATATCAGATTTTTTTTTTAAATCCTTTCTTTGTGCAGCTGCGAATGCCCAAACTTGATGGGGATGAGAACTTTAAAACAGCATCTTCTAAAATTTGATTGCGCAAGATGCATCCAGAATATAAGTTTCGACCGGGTCTTTCATTACTTGGAGCAGTTTAAGTTTAAAGTCAGCCTACACGAAAATCAATATTAGTAACAGCATTTGGGTCCAACTGAGGCACATTCCCAAATAGGTGGGCGTTAACAATTTGAATGGGGGTGCCCAGATAAGGGATCTGTACAATAATAAATAATATTATTGTAATAATTTAAACTATTTATTTTTATTAAAGTTTTTATGAACGATATATACCCAAAAACATAGTAAATAGTAAAACGCTGCTGAGAGTTATAATAGACAGGAAGTAGTGGAGAGCCATTGTCGCCAACAGTTTGGACTCAAAATCAGCACTGAAGAATTATCTATCAAACAAAAAAAAAATAATCGAAATCGGATGAAAACTGTGAAAATGCATAAACAACATCCGATCACACACACATACACATTTTGAGAATTTTAGATATAGATTGTTAGATTTGAATATAAATATAACGGTGAAAATAGCTGTTTCCGTACAGAAAATATTCGACATTAATTGACCGAAGAGTTAATAATTTATCAAATTTTTGTCTTAAAACATTTTTTTTCTCTCAGGAAAATAAATCTTAAATCCACTAACTGTTATCGCTCCTTCGAGTACTGATTGGAGTTGCCTTACAAATCTTTGTGTAAAGTAGCATGGATAGTCTAAATATTGACCATATCATTACTTTCCTTTCAATGATGTAGTTTAGTAATTTGGTAAAAAAATTTTGTTGTGATTCTGTAGCGCCAGTGTACGAGTTTTGACATAGAATAGTTTTCCTTAGATGCTAGAAATACCGGCTCTCGTCTGATCACTGAAGTTAAGCAACGTCAGTGCCTAAGTGGGTGACTGCTTGGGAATACCAGGCTCTGTAATCTTGCATGAGTCGGTGGTTTAATGGAATTGGAAATCGCAGAGCCTAGTTCCATTTTCAGTCAGGTTCCTTATATTCACTTACGCACATCGCGAAAGGTATGGATCCACCTCTTCCACCTTGGCTATGTGTTAGTCAGTAGATGCGGCGAACGTTAGTCAGTACAGACGCAAAAGAGGCCCTAGAGTCGCGTGCGTACAGGTCTGTCGAAGATAGTCACATCTGGATTTTCACTGTAGCAGCAGAACAGCCTGGCATGTCCAGATACAGGCCTCTCTGAAACTCCAGATCCGAGTCTTGTGTCAACTGTCTCGTGTTAATAAATGCGACGGGAAGACCAGCAGTCGCAACTGACGAGCCCTGGTATCGTGTGAATATGGTCTCTTGGCGCAAATTCCGGAACAAGTTGCGCTAAGAGACCGTCTGAGACAGTGGCATCACTAGTCATTAATCAGTTTTATTTTGTTTCCTCCCGTCTCTTTCTTTTCTCTCTCTGTTACCCGTAATTCTGGCGGGAACAATCGTTTATTTCGTCGTTACATCAACACACCCTTGCCTTATTTTACAACAGACTTTCGTCAGTAAATATCAAAAGGAAAACAATCCTTACAATCTAAAAATTATTTTCTGGTTTTAAATGGCCTGCCAAAGGTTGATAATGTGCAAAAAAAGAAGAAAAAAAAAGAAAAAGAAATCAATAAAAACCTAAGGGATTCGTTCGCTTGGGACCATTTTAATCATAGACCTGAGAAAGCGGTTGTATAGATATTATTCAACGAGTTGAACACCATGTATGACAGCTATATGACCATCTCGATCTAATGAGCATGTTTACAACATGGCTGAATTTGTAGCAAATTGCGGTGTTGGGCAAAACTGCCCGTAGCGCAGCCTATTCTATATTCAGTTTCCTTATCTTTCTTTACTAAACCTGTTATAACTGCTTCGTACACCAACGTATTTAAAGTGTTTATTATTGACAAATTACACATCCTGAATTTTTTACGAAGGATTTTCGGATAATTGCTTATATAAGTCTGACTGTCGGCGACGACTAAAAGCTGTCGATCCTCTTTATATAAAACAGTTCAAGCCAAACATCAATATTACTTTATTTAATAATAGTTCGAATAAATTGTCTTTTAAGAAGACGCCACATGGCAGTATCTGCACTCACTTAATCTTGCCCGCCCAAAGATTGTAAGAACATTAAAAATAATAATAATAAAAATCATATAAGATTTCTTTATCTATCACATTCAAAAGAAAGTTTGCTGATATATACCGGTTCTAACAAAAAAAATCATCGAAATAATGTAACAGCGTAATTGTCCAGCCTACAAAATATTTACCATCTAAAAAAACAGCTAAATTCATTAAGATACTTTTTCCCAGGCTTTTAGATAAGACAGCCATCTTGAGATCATTTTTCGTAAGATTCACTGAAACATCCTTTGAGTTATTCAGCTAGAAAGAGAACAGGTTCAAATCGTTTTTTGTCAGCCCCACTATGTCTTCCCAACTAAGCAATGGTGAGAGGAAAAAGATCATTCAGGCCTTCAGTAATGGTACTAACATTCATACTGACTCTGGCTTCCACTTCAAAGTCCATTCAAGAACCATCAAGAGAACGGTGAATTAGTTTAAAAAAGAGGGAACAACAGAGAGGAAAACTACACAAGAAAGTCACAACAGGAAGATGGATCTTCATTTCAACTTAAAGTGATCAATTAGAAAAGATTCAACTTAATCCATAAGACGTGAGAGAAAAGTTTCAGCTATGAATGTTGAAAGAACAGTGAAAAAAGACTTGAAAATGAAATCGTACGTAAAATCTGTGAGGTAACTTCTTAATTCAGGACAGAAATTTAAAAGGTTAGAGAAGGCGAAGATCATCTTGAATAAGGTAGAAATGATCCAGTAATATATATATATATATATATATATATATATGTGTGTGTGTGTGTGTGTGTTAACTTAATTTCAATACTTCATGAGCTTTCGATCCTTAGCTATGATAAAATAATGATGTCATTTTCATTTATGATCGGTTTCATCATGACACTTCTGTTAAGCTTAGAGAGTAATTAAACATTCTTACTGCTCAAGGTAGAGTCCAATAGTGTTATAAAAAGCTCGGAGAATTCCAGTAAGATATCTTTAATCATTTCTAAGATACAACGTTTCAGATCTTGATCTAACAAATGGACAATTTTACTTTTACACGATTTGAACAATTTTGCTGTTACAACCGGTACATTTTCACGCACGCACACGTGCACACACACACGCACACACACATATGTGTGTGTGTATACACACACATATATATGTGTGTGTGTGTGAGAGAGAGAGAGTGATTGCGTGCATATATATATATATATATATATATATATATATGTATGTGTGTGTGTGTGTGTGTGTGTGTGTGTGTGTGTGTGTGTGTGTGTGTGTATGAAACAGACTGTCGCCGCTTGTATGCAACCTTTGCTGTGATGACAGGGCGTCGCCGGGTACAGGACTGAAATGATATCAGTGCCATAAAATAACATCACGAGTACCACAAAAAACTGCCTTTACCCATTAAAAACAATCTGATGATAACACCGTCATCCTATAGAAATCTGTCAACGACTAAAAAATGACCGTTGATCGTACATGTAGGTTTATACACCCATTTGATAGGTCTTGTTTTTAAACGCTTTTTTTTTTAATCAACACGCCCTAAACAAAGTGAAAATGCTACTAAGATGCACGTGCCTACTTGGATTGAAAGAGAAGACTTTAGAAGGAAGAGGAAACCAAATCCTAAACAGAAATAAATAAAGGAACAATGCCAAACTGTTCATTACTCTCTACCTTGAGCAGAGAGGAACCCGGACGAGGCTTTGCCGAAGGGCAATGTTTCGTCCAAAGACGTAGACAGTCCCTGAACCCGTTTATACGCGTTCTAAGGGAATATTTTGGGCCGAGCCTACGGGCTCGGAGAACCCACGGTAAACTCGGCCTTGTGCCACATACATCCCACGTGGGTGGCTGTTAAATATAACAGAAATAAATAAAGGATAATCATCTACTCCTTTTCAAAAGACCGGGAAGGGGCGTGAAGCGGACGATAGGTGAAAACATCTACTTTTATAGAACGAAAAATATTAGAAACAAAAAATAATTAGTAAATAAAATTTCAGGGTTTAGTCGGAGACGTTAGAACTATAGAGTTGAAATAGACTTTAGAAGCCGAAAACCCAATCCTAAGCAGGAAACAAGGGATAAAACTCTATTCATGTTCAAAAGACCAGGAAGGATAATTAAAGTTTCAGGACGTATATATTAAATTATTTCTAAAATTTCTTTTTTTTAGTAAATCTTGATATAACTATTTGATATAATGGAATATGCATACACCTGTGTTCCAACTCACTGGAATATGATTGGCTGGTGTCCGTCATAAATACCGACAGACATGTAGGTGAGTCAAAGAGCCTTAGTCTGAGAGCTAAATCTATAACGACGCCCATTGGTGAAATTTGAACCAGGGTCTCATTTTCACAAAGTGAAACCACTCGGCCACATAATTTCAAATACATTATTTCATTATTTGTGAGAGATGCACATGAATTTTCATGGAAATCTGACGTAATATATTTGGATATAGGAACTATATACCTTATCCACACACACACATATGTATGTCACACACAACTCCTCATATATATATGTGATATAATGGAATATGCATACACCTGTGTTCCCCCTCACTGGAATATGATTGGCTGGTGTCCGTCATAAATACCGACGGACATGTAGGTGAGTCAAAGAGCCTTAGTCTAAGAGCTAAGTCTATAACGACGCCCATTGGATTACGCCATTGATCTACACTTCTTACCAGCGACTACGACGCGTACCAGTCGATTACTGCTACCGTATTCTACTTGGTTATAGTAGCTAAAACCACTTAGCTACTTCGTTCAAATATATCCCTTTCCGGGACATATCACTATTTTTTTTATCCCTACTTAATGTTATGAAATTTCGAGGAATTAAAATTTCACCCTCTTCATATCAATAGAAGTTAAAAGCAGGACTCCTTGGAGAAGCTAAATCAGCAATTTGTTTTTGTTAAACAAAAACACCATTTACTGAAGATCTGCCCCGAATCATAAATTAAAAATTGCAAAAGCTAATCATAACTAGAAAAGCTTAGTACAAACCATCACCTTTATTTTTAAAAGAATTTTGAATATTTTGCATGTATATAAACTTGCTAATTTTTGTAGATACGGCCGCCCTATTAACGACATTATCAGAAAACAAGAGCGATAACTATAGTAAATTTAAAATCAAATTTTCTAAAATCCAATAAAACATCAGATTAACGAGAATATCTTCCTAAATTTTTAAGATTACTGAGTACTTAAGAATTATATGAAAAGGCGCTCACGTCATTTTCTTCAATTATATTTGGCATATAATGTCTCCGTAAAACAACATTAAATATGCCAGAACGTCAACACCTTAAATAAACAGCTACTGTTGGGTTAAAAAAATGGATTTCTGCGATATTTCAAACTTAAAGCAAGTAATATTTGTTTCAAATCAGATCAATTATACTTTTAATCAGTTAATATTACTCAAATATAGCTTCGGAAAAAGTATATTTTATTTTTGCTAGATTTTTTAATAAAAAGAATTATATTGCGATGAAAGTTGACTAAAAAAGGTCGCGAATCTGCTATTTCATCTAAAAATACTTCCAGTCAATTTGAATTAGTCTTGAAATACAGGAAAAAGTATTTTGCTTAGTGGAAATATTAAATTTAATCTATCAGCTTGAAAATAAAAATAAAATAAAAGCTACAGGAAAGATTTTTTATTGTTACAAATTCATTTTAAACTTTACGTATCGCGTTTTCTGTGTACCTACATTAGAATAAAGAAGCACCACATGAATTTCATATTCAAGTGGATGAAAACGTTGCGAAAACAGGTTCTGTTAATGGTAAGCTATGCTCTGGCAGTGCAAGTGAAAAGTGTAGCCTAAAACAATAGAACAATAAATTTTACATTTATTTTTTTTTATCCTTTTTACAGATCACTTTTTCCTGTGTGTTACAAAACTATTAGTATTATATATATATATAATACTAGTATACTGTATATATATATATATAATACTAATATATATATATATATATATAATACTAATATACTGTATATATATATATATAACTATTAGTATTATATATATATATATATATATATATATATATATATATATATATATATATATATATATTAAATTTACTAAATGAAAACGATAAATAGTTTGTTTTGAACAATGCTGATAATTTGGTCAGCTGTCTGGCTTCCCCGACTATTTCGTCACTATCTGATAACATTTTTAGGATGTGGCAAAGAAACGCCTTCCTTTTTTTGTCTTTTAATGAGAAGAAATTAATTTATCAATGAATTGCACATCAAAGATTTAAGTCTGCTTAATCAGATAGAGGTTCCACCCCACCAAATCACTCTGCATATTTCTGTTCGTTCTTTTGTTCCTTTTCTTTCTTTCTTTTTTCTTTCTTTCTTTCTTTCTTTCTTTCTTTCTTTCAGTTTTCGATTCCGTTCTAGTTCAGACTTTCTATTTCGCAAATCTTTCTATTTCAGATTTCTTTCTTTTTTTTTTTATTTCCGATTTCTATCTTCCGTTCTGTTTCAGATTTCTTTCTTCCTATTTCAGATTTCCTTCTTTCCATTTTAAATTTCAGATTTCTTTCTGTTTCAGATTTATTTCTCTTTCTATTTCAGATATCCTTCTTTTCTATTTTAGATTGTTTTTTTTTCTATTTCAGATTTCCTTCTTTCTACTTTAGATTTCAGATTTCTTTTTATTTCAGATTTCTGTCTTTCCATTTTAGATTTCAGATTTCGTTCTATTTCAAATTTCTTTCTTTTCATTTCAGATTTCTTTCTTTCTATTTCTATTCCAAATTTCTTTCTGTCTCTCATTCAGATATTCTTCATTCTATTTCAGAATCTTTTCTTTCGATTTCAGATTTCCTTCTTTCCATTTTAGTTTCCAGATTTCGTTCTTTCTCTTTCTATTTCAGATTCCCTTCTGCCTATTTTAGATTTCTGATCTCTTTCTATTTCAGATTTTCTTTTATTCTGTTTCAGTTTCAATTTTTTTCTATTTCTAATTCAGATATCCTTCTTTTTATTTCAGATTTCTTTCTTTCTATCTCAGATTTCTTTCTTTCTGTTTCTATTTCTTTCTTTCTTTCTTTCTTTCTTTCTTTCTTTCTTTCTTTCTTTCTTTCTTTCCGAGGTCGTTCTTTCTTTCTTTCTTTCTTTCTTTCTTTCTTTCTTTCTTTCTTTCTTTCTTTCTTTCTTTCCGAGGTCGTTCTTTCCCATGTCGTTCTTTCTTTCTTTCTTTCTTTCTTTCTTTCTTTCTTTCTTTCTTTCTTTCTTTCTTTCCGAGGTCGTTCTTTCCCATGTCGTTCTTTCTTTCTTTCTTTCTTTCTTTCTTTCTTTCTTTCTTTCTTTCTTTCTTTCTTTCTATTTCAAAATCTCTCGTTTTTGTTTGATTTTGTTTTCTCTACTTCCTTAGTTTCTGACTCATATACTCCATGTTTCTGGTTACTGTAATTGTCAGCGAACAAAAAGATAATCGGACAGCCGAGTTCACTGCGTTCATTTTCCGCAAAAATATACTTCGGAAAGTTACGAATCCAGCTATTTTATCCCCACCTATGGAATAAATAGCAGCACTGATTGAAGTCTATTTCTTTCTTTCTCCACGTCTCAAGAGAGATGAACATCGTCAGTATATGGCGCCGTCTACATACCACTGTTGGTATAGTATTGCTGTTGTCCAAATAACCCTAATGAATTACGTGACTCGTGATATAAAGTAATTCTCTTGAAAGAGCCAGCATATCTATATACATATTGGGAAGGTAGAATTTCTCACATGCTCGCGAGTAAAAAAAAATCGATCATCTGACCACATAAACTCTACGGCTGACGTTAATATGACGGATTCCAAGAGTGAATAAACAATTATTTTACGTATAAAAGATTTAGTTTCGTTTTTGCATCATGACATTCCAGAGAAAGCATTTTGAAGGGACTCTGGCACCATTGCCCTAAGTAGGCTATTTGATCGTTAACATTAATATTAACTGGCTGCATTATTTTGCGACAGACCACATATTTATATTCTTGTAACCATATTTTCCTCTTTGGTCTTTGTGAATAATTCATCCCCAAAGTACCGGTGCCATCCATTCCGCTCCACCCACCCACTTCTTATTTGATCTTGATACATCTCGTAGAGTAGGGATGAGTCTGCCAGGAGAACGGGTCACTTTCTTAAGAGCGGAATGCAAAAGATTGAAATCATTTGATAACTTCTGTGCACTGTCGTTCGTCAGGAATGGGAAAGACGACTTTTCTCCCCTACCTCCCACCTTTTCCTCTCCATCATCCACCCGCCAATGCTTTTTTTTTTTCTTAAACATTTTGGGCAGGCGCAAAGGAAAAGAAACGTTTGTGTTGGGTATTGTGTATTCGTGCCGATACTACAACAAAGACGGTAGCGGGAGACAAAAAAAAAAAAAGCTAGGCTTTATCAGATTAAATCCGATCAGGTCAGGTTTTGTTTTAGATATCTTTTCTTCTTTGGCTTTCTTTCTCTTATGTTTGTTTTGATTAATTCTTGTTTTTTTTTCTCCCCTTTGTTTCAGAATGGACTTGCCTTTATTTAATACGCCATTATTTACTACACTCACTCACTCACTCACTCACTCACTCACTCACTCACTCACTTACTCACGCACTCACTCACTCGCTTTCTTTCTTTTTCTTTCTTTCTTTCTTTTTTTCTTTCTTTCGTTCGTTCTTTCTTTCTTTCGTTTATTCGTTTTTTCTTTCTTTCAATTTTAGCTTTCTTCTCTCCTTTGCTTTTGAATGGACTTCCCATTATGCAATGCACAGTAATTACGATATATTTTCTTTCTTTCTATCTTTCTTTCTTTTTTCTTTCTTTCTTTCTTTCGATTTCAGTTTTCTTGCATTTTAATTATCTATCTATCTATCTATCTATCTATCTATCTATCTATCTATCTATCTATCTATCTAGATTTCTCCACATCTATCTATCTATCTATATATATATATTCTCCAACAAAAGACATTCATTTCTGTAGTTCCTTGCCAACAGCAAGCAGAAATATTTCGCCTCCCGATGATGGCCATTTCGGTCGAAACTAGTCGAGGAATCTAAATGGAATAATAATAATAAAAAAAAAACGAAAGAATATTAATCTACAACCCAGTGTGTCTAATGATTTTAAATTTTAAATTTTTAATTTTCTTATTGTTCAATATATATATATATATATATATATATATATATATATATATATATATATATATATATATATATATATATCATACTTTGTTTAAATTTTAGCTTTTGCTCTTCCTCTGTTTTAGAAAGGACTTCTCATTATTTGAGGTGCATTATTTAAGTCCTTTCTTATTTCTTTCATTCTTTATTTCTTTCTTTCTCTTTACCTTTATCTCTTTTTTACTTAAATTAAGTTTCTGTCTTTTTTATCTATCTATCTATCTATCTATCTATCTATCTATATATATATATATATATATATATATATATATATATATATATATATATCTTTCCATCGTTCTATTACGGTTTTACACTTTCTATTTCTTTTTTTTTATTTTCAATCCAGATTTATTTGCTTGTTTATTTTTAATTCTTCTTTCTTTTCATTTAAGTTTTCTTTCTTTCTTTATTTTATTTATTGATTTTCAGAATTCCTTCTTTCTTTTTCCTTATATTTCAAATTTGTTTCTTTCTCTCTTTCTTTCTATTCCTGATTTGTCTCTTTTTTGCTTTTCAGATATTTAAAAGTTGCTTCTTACCCGCTCTATATCCTCGATCTCTATCGGTCGCATATATGTCTCCCTACTTTCTCCTTCCTTTTCCTGGTTTCCCTATGAGCCCCGTAATTCTTTCTCTTTCATCTCCGGTTTCGCTTTTCAGAGGTTTTCTCTTTACAGATGTTTTCGGTTTTCATTTTTTTTGGTCTTCAGTTTTCAGATGTTTTCGGTTTTCAGAGGTTTTCGGTTTTCAGAGGTTTTCAGTTTTCAGATATTTTCGGTTTTCAGAGATTTTCTGTTCAAGAGGTTTTCGTTTTTCAGAGATTTTCAGTTTTCAAAGGTTTTCGTTTTTCAGAGGTTTTCGGTTTTCAGATATTTTCGGTTTTCAGAGGTTTTCGGTTTTCAGAGGTTTTCGGTTTTCAGATGTTTTCAGTTTTCAGATATTTTCGGTTTTTAGAGGTTTTCGGTCTTCAGATGTTTTCAGTTTTCAGATGTTGTCAGTTTTCAGAGCTTTTCGTTTTTCAGAGGTTTTCGGTTTTCAGAAGTTTTCGGTTTTTATCGGTTTTTGGTTTTCAGAGCTTTTCGAATATCGGATGGTTAACCTGCACTCGAAAGTGTGATAACGGCTATTGAACTTGAGAAGTCTGTTCTTGTGGAAAAACGAAGATATGATAAATAATAATAGAAAAAAAATCAGTCACTTTAACTGCTCGCTCAATGATTCTGGTACCATCATCAGCAGTAGCAGTAGCAGCAGTCTCTTGACGGCTTCAGTCGTCGTGGGGACCTAAAGGCAGAAGAAACATACAATCACCTCCATGGTGATCTGTTAGCGATGGTTCTCAGGAGTTCCGGCACTGTTATGTCTTGTCCACACTTTGATGTTGTCTGACCAGCTTGCAGTCTCCGCATGCTTCCGCCTTCAACTGTGACTTGCAGGATGGCCTTGCAGAGTCTGTTACGCCATGTGACGTGGTCCAACCATGACATCTTCCGACGCTTAATAGTGGCGAGGAAAGATTCCAGTTTTCCCACGAGACTTTTGGCCTTGCTTCGTACGTAGTCCTTGTGCTCCCAATAGGAGATACGGAGGAGCTTTCTTAAATATTTGTTCTCGAACGTCTGGCTCGTTTTTCCTGACTCAATCACGAGTGTCCAAGTCTCACACCCGTAGAGGAGCAGGATAGATACGACCAACGATTTTATAGAGCTTGAAATTGGTTTGGAAGCTTATGTTGCTCTTTCATATCTTTTCCAGTCTGATTATCTCTACTGTAGCTATAGCAATCCGTGTGTGGATTTCTGTGTTGCGGGTACCGTCTTTTGACAGGGTTGCTCTCATATATTTGAAGCCGGACACTTCCTCCAGCGGTTTGCCGTCCATGGTGACGCTAGCACAGGTGTTGCTTGTGCCGTTCACCACCGGTGACAGCCATCACCATAAGATACTGGAATACTCCAAATCAGACACGTGTTTTTTATGAGGAAGAGAGTAGATATTGCAAGACTTGACGTTCTATTTCGATACTGAAGATGTTTAAAAGGTGCGCGAGAAAGTGGGCAATTATCGGAACCTGAGATGAGAATTGAAGCAGCTTGGGAACTGTACTGACGTGACAATGACGTGGCCAAATCATGACATCCTCGGACTGCTTAATAATGGCGAGGAGAGATTCCTGTCAGTACAAGAGACATTTGACCTTGTTCCGTACATTGTTATTGGTTTCGTGCTCTCAGTAGCAGATGCGGAGGAGCTTTCTCAAGCATTTGTTTTCCAACGCCTGGATTCTTTTTTTTTTGTTGTTGTCTCAACCAGGACTGTCCAAGCCTGGATACGACCAGCGATCCGTAGAATTTAAACTTGGTATGGAAGCTGATGTCGCTCTTTCATATCAGTTCCAGTCTGGCTATCTCTGCTGTGGCTGTGGGGATCCGTGTTCAGATTTCTGTGTTGCAGGTGCCGTCTTTTATCAGAGTTTCACCCATATATTTGAAGCTGGACCCTTTCTCTAGCAGTTCGCTGTCCATGTTGACGCTGGCACTGGTGTTGCAACCATTACTTTGGATTTATATGTGTTAAGTTCCATTCCATATGCACCGGCTCTTTCAACGAGTTTATTGGTCAAAACTTTCAGCTCACTCTTACCTCACGCCATAAAGTCAATATCGTCTGCGAAACACAGTTTGAAGACAAGTCTAACACCAGTCTGCTATCATACTTGCTATATGGAAACTGTTAATCTCTATATAAAATCAAACAAACCAGACATTGGGAGACAAGACCAAAAAATTCTCTTAAAAAAAAAATTCCTCTTAAAAATACTGAAATGTCCTCAACAGATTGTTAGATCACAAAACATAATTTAACCCCTCACTACAAACAAAATAGCTAAAATGATGTCTCATCCAATCGCTCTCTCCGTCCTGGGTATGACAATAAACTACATCCGCATCCTGGGTATGACGATAAACTACGTCCAACAGCAAGGCCTTTGATCAAGAGGTTTTGAGGAGCGTAGAACCACCTCTTAATTGCTGGTGTTCCCAGGTCCACCCTAACCCGGGGTGGTAGCACCTATGGGCAAAGTGTTAATAATAAAAAAAAAAATTGGGTAAAAAGCATTATGAAAATGTAAAAATAGATTTTAATACAAGAAATAATTTATAAAAATTATTACCAAAGATAAATTTTTGAAGGAAAAAAAAAATTATTAGCAGCAATATATTTTTCAAAACAAATATTACCAGTTATACGTTTTTGAAAAAAAATATATTACCAGCAATACATTTTTTAAAACAATATTACCAGCAATATATTTTAGAGGAATAATATATTAGCAGAAATAGTTTTTTGAAAAAACAAAATATTACCAGCAATAAAAATTTTGTCGGCATTAAATAACCCATTGAGGTGTCGATATGCCGTAAAACAAACCAAACCAATCGCTCTCTGCGCATAACTCTTTTTCTGTCGCGACGTCCTTATCTCTCATTTTGTTTTACACTCTGTCATATAGGAATAAATGACACTGCCGACGCTTGGGTTTGAACACTAGAAAGAAAACACAGTCAACCTAATCTTGAAATAATTAGACCGCGTGAAGGATAAAAGGATATATATATAATATATATATATATATATATATATATATATATGGGAATCAGCGGCGTCGGAACCGAGTATTTTTCAAAGGCATTACTATTGTTGTATCTGTGATTTACAAAGTCTCTACAACAAACAGGCATTACAAAAGTCTCTATGTTGCTTTCTCTTTCTATTTTTCTCTTGGATGATCAACATAGGCTGGGTTCCCTTAGTCTGTAACAAATTCGCGAAGATAAGATAAAATAAATATTTTCACTTCAAAAATCACTTGCAGCTCAAGGGTGAGTTTGACCTCAACAGATCGTTAGCTCACGGAACATGATAAACTCCTCGCTACAATCAACTCTCTTTATCAAAGACAACCCCTGTTGACCATGTTTGCCGTAGTCTCTGAATATGGAATTAAGTGAAGTCCGTAATCTCTTCAATTTCCGAGGTTGGCAATGTAGATTCGGAGAAAGTAGCGGCTGTTAATTTTTTAAGTCTTCGATATCAGGTTGGCAGTGGAGATATTTTGGGAGAAAAAAACAAAATGGCTGCCTTTATACACGTCGCATTGAATATTTTGAGCTTTCTGATTGGTTAACCCTTCTATTGGGGAACTATAAAATGAGTCAGCTCATTTTGACTGCCTCACTAGTAAATACTTATAAAAAAAAACTGTAACGACCCCCACTAATGTATCTCTATGTCACTTTCTAGGATTCTGCTTTACTCTCTATATCGCCCTCTCTTTCCGTTTTCCTTCACGGACGCTCAATACAGTCTGTGTTTAATAGGATTTTTGATTAGAACATGTATTTTTATTATATTATGAAATCGTTATATTTATTTAAAAAAAAAGTTTAATTCTAAAAGTTCAGTTGTCGTTCAAAATTGATTTTGACCGTAACAGATATTTAGATCACAAAACATGATGTAACCCCTTAGTATAAACAACTGTACTTATCTAAAATGACCCATCCAATTTCTCTCAATGTCACCCTCTCTTTTTGTCTCGCTACGTCATTCACTCTCTTTCGGCTTTAAATCACTATGTCCTTCGCTCTTTCTGCTTCCCTCTCAGTATGTCAGTTATCAAGCATGAGCGAGCGGACCTAAAGCTCAAGTTCCATAGTTTTCAGTGTTGCTCCAAGTATCTTTGAAGATGGCTAACCTATGGTCTTTCCCCTAAAGTGATCTCGCTGAATA